CTCAGTGGCATAAGCGCCTGCCTGTAGTTCCACACTTGGGAGGCTGAGGCAGGAAGAGTACTCTGAGTTCAAGGCTAGCCTGGGCTACCTAGTGAGATACAGTTAAAAAAAAAAAAAAAAAGTGGTATTTGATTCAGATGATTCACTTCCCCTCTAGGCCATCATCCTTTGCTTTAGGCTATCTGCTGGAGACTACTGATGGGCCTGAAATGGGCTTTGCACCAAGAACCTTGGTCTCACTGTCTGGACTCGGTCTGCCTGTATCCTCCAGTGTGACTGGAGGCTGAGTGAATTTAGTACATTTCCCTGAAGCTTCATATCATCTGAATGTTTCTGTGTGGTTAATGAATTGCTTAGAGCACCTTCCAGGTAGCCTTCAAATAAAGGCTGCAATTCTCTCTCCTGGCTGTTTTGCTCTCTAACTATCATAGCTACATGCGAATCAGGATCTCAAGCCAGTACCCTCAGGGTACGCTCCTTGGAACTCTTGCACTCTTGCACCTGAAGCTTCTGCAGACCTTGTTGCAAACACACATTGTGGACCCCATGGGGACCTTGGACTCAGACTCTAGATATTTTAGGTAGAATCTGAATTTGAAAAATCATGAATCTGGTGGTTTCTGTAGATACAGTGGTTTTCTAAAAGCCTTAAATAGGTTATATTTTTTAGATGTAATAGACTTGTCTATATTGAACCCTTTCATCCTCATCCAAGACCTCTGGGAGTAGGTTCTTAGCAGGGCACTATCATGTAAGGAGACAGATCTATAACTGCCATGTAGCAGGGTGTATCTTAGGAGATGCTGTGGTCTCTCGGAGGTTGGAGTAGGTCTTTTTTAAGCAGATTCACAGTGCCCTGCAGAGCTCTGATAGTCAGACTTTAGAAGCTGGCGGGGGCATGTTCCTTAACCAGCTTCTGAGGGAGATTCTGATGTGGTTGGTCTGCCTGGTGTTTAGGCTCTAGAGGACTGTCATCTAGAAAGAAGTAACTTTCGTGGGGCAGGGAAACGGGCTGCCTGAGGAAATCACCGTGCACTGTATTAAAGGGACCCTGACAGTTTAAACATACTGTATGACCCTAGGTTGAACCCTGAATTGGAAAAAAAGGTCATTTGTAGATCTGAAAAGATGGGTCCTGTCTGTATCTGGTCCTGGCCCAGTGCGTGTGCAGGCCTTTTAAATTGTGCAGAGGTCTACCACCTGAGGCCTCTGCGTCCTACTGTGCTTGTTATTCTGGAGCTGACTCTGGTGTGGAACTGTTTGTGGGAAAACAGAGTTTTCATGATGTGGAATTAGATTGCTGTGGGAAGTGGGGCTCTGAAGCCAGGGAACCTTCTGTGTACGTGCACAAGTGAGTGCCCTGCCTACTGCTGCAGCCAGTGCGTGCCGTGGGTACCTGCTCAGGGAGGTAGAGAGAAGCAAAAGACAAAGCACGTGTCACGTTATAGTCAAGCAGATGAACTTCTGAGAATAGTTGTGACGTAGTTCTGTATAAAATCCAAGGAGGTGGGAAGGAGGATTTGATTTGCAAGGATTTATTTCACCCACATCGTAGAACTCACTGGTGATCATTTTGTAGCTACTAATGGTGATATTGATTCAGGCAAAGAGTATCAATGGCTGCTAAAACTGCTGGGTGAAAAAGGAGTTTGATTAGATAATCAAAAACGGGATAGTCACAAGGACTCAGAAAGAATCACTACAGATTACTCATTTTTAAAAGAGAAAAAGTATTTTACAATGAAAAGATTTTTTTGTTTTTTTCGTTTTGTTTTGCTTTTTTTTTTATTTTTTTTAATTTTTTTTAATTTTTTTTTTTTATTTATTTATTATTTATTTGAGAGAGAGAGAGAGAGAGAGAGAGAGAGGGAGAGAGAGAGAGAGAGAGAGAGAGAGAGAGAGAGA